ATGTTTGATAAGGAATGTATTTATTACTTTGCTCATGTAATTGTAAACCCTCTGTATGGTATTTTCACAATAAAAAAAACTATTAAAGCCAGCATTGAAACTCGAATAAAATAAATAAATAAATGAAATTTTCTTCTTATGAGAAAGAAAAGTTTTAGTGGAAATACACAGATTTTTGTTTAAATCAGTATTTTCCCTTGTCCAGGCCTTGGACAGCTCTGCGCTTTGCATAGCTGTTTTTAGCAAAAATGTCTTAGTCTGTCTTGCTTCCATGCTGAATATCACAAGGTGCTGTAAAAAGAAGTCTGAGGAACACAAACAGTCCACACACTGCAATTCTATGGAGTGATGTTCACCTGTTGTGTGTTGTAAAGCCTGCACCATGTGGAGTGCCCAGGCTGCCCTTCCTGGTGCTCCTGGGTACCGCAGGGTGTGTGGGTAGTATCTACCAGTCATGGATATGTGTGACTTCTACCAAGCTACCTGTGATCACATTGGAAGCAAGTATCCAATATGATTCCTTTGGTATGTTTCTCAGAAACATTGCTTTATGCTGAGAGTCATTGTACTATCTGTATTTGTTTCTGAAGGGGCTGCAGCCTTGCAGTGATCTCTGGAATCTTCTATGGATCTACATTTGTGCCCATCATTTACATCAAAGACCATGGCAAAAGGAATGACAGTATATATGCAGGAGCGAGCCAGTATGGTGAGAGTTCAAAGTCTTATTCATTAGCCAATTCACTAATAGCAGTGCATATCTACGTATAAAAAAGAATTTCATAGAGTAAATACTGTGTATGGGTTGGGTATTTACTTTTCATTTGTAAGTAATGAATTAGAAAAACTCTAAAGGCTAAGCCTAATAAAAGACTAACTATTTTCACATGATCTTTGATAGAAGAATGGACTGTGCTCAGAATTTATTTCAGCTTCTCAAAGCTTGACAGTTTCTAGTTTTGCTGTAAGATTTTCAGATAATTTGCCAGTTTGATGATCTCTAGAAAAATATGTATTCTACTTTTTAATAAAAGGGTTATATGTAGAATTTTAAATCAAGTAAAGGTCAACACTAGTGTGCTTAGTCAGTGGATGCTATTTTTCAAGAACAGAGAATGAGATCTTCTGAAAGGGCCTATGTAGTGACTCCTCATGGGTCTGCAGCCACCAGTGATAACATTAATCTTTCAGCTGTAAGCAATGTATACACAGCCGTGGAAGGCTCCCAAGGAGATGAAAGAGGGTCTGCTTTTGGGCCCCATAACTGTGGTGAATCATAATCCTGTGACTATGCCCCTAAAGCGATAAGAGGATGCATAATAGAAATAATGAAGTTTTAAATCACATGGGGCAGAAATCACATGAACTCCATTCAGATAAGGGAAGAAAGAGTTTGAAGAGCAAAAGTCATGAGGGGAAGACTGATAAAGAAGTTGACAAAACAGGTGACAAAGAATGTAACTGTGGAATCACTGGCTTCAGTGACTTCCAGGACAGCATGGGCTATTGGATGATATTCTGTCACAAAATGTAAAGTAAAATAAAATAACCAAATTAATGTAAAATAAAATAATAAAATACAATACAAAAGAAGGGATGAAATTTGAACATGAGTTTAACAGTGAATAGACTTTGAAAAGAAGCATGGTTTCCTTTCTGTCGTATGCTTAGTGTTGATCAAATACCAAACCTTGCATCAATTTGTCTTTCTTTTGTTAAGATTTTATACAAATATTTTTTTATATTTTTCATTCTTAAGGATTAAAAACTAATAAAAAGAGGCTAACATAAGATAAATTTAAAAAGAAGAAAAAACAAGAGGAAGGAAATACATGGAGCCAGAAATGAGTCTAAATCTTTGGACTATATTTGTATCCTTCTAGAAATAAGCCATACACTGGGCACTCAGCTTTCTTGTAGCCACAAGGGAAAACAGACCAGCCTCAGGATTCAGTGAGCACAGATCAAAACAAGTAATTGTTTAGGAGTCAAGTTGTTCTTGGGACTGGGACATAATAAACAATGTCCTTGTCGTTCTTTCTCTAGAACAACAAGTTCTTAGGCACTGTTCTGAAGTAATCTCATGGGAACACACTTTACAACCATGTGTTCAAAAATAATTCTTGGCAGGCATTTTTTTCTATTTTGCTTATTTAATAAACATGCATGCATTTTGAGCTCTGTTATAGGGTCTTTGCAAATTCTAATTGGGTTAATCCTCATAGCCATTGACACTGATATTAATCTTGTTTTAAAATGGAAAAAAACCTGAGTCAGAAAAACTTAAGTTACTTTGCCTAAGTCCCAAGATTAGTAATGGGTGAGGATTTGCATAAGATGAGCTAAGTCTTCTGTTGGATAATGGTGATGGGGTAGTAGTGGTAGTGGCACTGGGCCTCACTCTTGCTAGTCAAATCTTCTACAACTTGAACCATGACTTCATCCCTTTTCTGCAATCATTGTTTTGTTTGCCAGTCCTGCGGCTTGAACTCAGGGCCTGCACACTGACCCTGAGCTTCTTTTGCTCAAGGCTATCAGTCTATCACTTGAGCCACAGTGCCACTTCTGGCTTTTTCTGTTTATGTGATACTGAGGAATCGAACCCAGTACTTCATGCATGTTAGGCAAGCACTCTACCACTCAGCCACATTCCCAGTCCTTACTATGCTTATTTTTCGAACAAGTACTCCAATTTTTGCCTGGGTTGTCCTGAATCATGATTCTATTTATACCTCCCATAAAGCTGGAAGAAGGTATGTGCCACCACACCTGGATTCATCATTGACATGAGGTGTTCTCATGAACACTTGGATCAAGTACTCTTAAACCCAAATCCTTTTGATTTCTTCCTTCTGAGTAGCTGTAATTGTAGGTACAAGCTATGACTTGTGGCATTTGTCTGTGTTTTAAACACTATGTTATACTGTCTTTGTAAAGGTTTTCATATATAGATACATTGCTATTTTGTGATCCAGTAGTATGTTTTAGGATTTTCAAGAACAGGCAGATTCTCCTGTAAGGCTCTTTTCCCTTAAATTTTATTTTTTTAATTTTATTTTTTCAATTCAACATATCAGTTTATAAGTACAATGCATCTTGATCAATATCAGCCCTTCCATTGTTTCCCTCTCATCTTTCCAAACCTCACCCATACCTTCAAGTTACATGGTCCCATTTTACATATGTACATTAAAGATGAATGCATTTGTTAGCCCTTCCTTTCCCCATTCAATCTATCCTCCCTTCCCTTAAGTTATTATCCCTAAACATGGCCACTCACTTGGTCAAAATTTTAGATGACAGAAACATGGAATGCCAAGACCTTGCAGTGCACCATCTGTGTGACAGAGTGCCACCTGCTCAGGCTGGCAGTAGCAGCAGGACTTCTCGAGATGGCCTCCACTGAGCATCTCGCTCCTCTCCCTCTTGCAGCTGGGCTACTGTAAACAATTGGACAGAACCCTCATTGAAACAACTTGCTGAATAGCCCCTTTTACACAGCTGTCACCTGCAACCATGATACTGGCCTGAAGATTCATTGGCAGCTCAGGTTTTCATCCCACATCCCTCACCATAACCTACATCTGCTGCAGTCCTGAGTAAGGTGAGGACTGAACACTGATTCTTAAAAGGGAAGCATTAGCATCGTAGGTACATCCTGTTTGTTTCTTTTTATGTAGCTTTCTAAGGCGGATTCTAAAAACTAGCCTTTTAGATTTAATTATAGTAAATAAAGGTTGTCGATTAAGATTCTATAAAATAGCATGTAGATAATGAAGATGATTGAATAAATATAATGAATGCTTCCTTTAGTGTTAAGGTTTATGTTGGTGAGTTTATTGTATGTTCAGAAATGTAAGTATACTTCAGATGGTTAAAATGATGCCTGATAATCTCTTTTTAGATTTAGACTATGTTTTTGCACACTTCAGTGGCATCTTTCTTACAAGTACAGTCTACTTTCTGGCCTACTGCATGATCATGAAAAATAGTCCTAAGCTCTATCCAAAGGCAGTCTTACCAGGTAAGACGATTCACTGCACAGACTCTTACTACTATAGAAAAAAACTCAACTTGCTGGGTTTCATTAATCACCTCCTGGGAACCCACCTATCTGTTGAGTGTTTGAGTGTGTGTGTGTTTCTGTGTAATTGTGTGTGTGTTGTATGTAGTGTGTTGTATGTGTGTATGAATATATGTGTATAGAAGCATGTGTTATATGTAATACATGTGTGTTGCTTGTATGTATATATATTGTATTGTGTATAATGTTGTGTGTGCATATGTAGGATTGCATGTTACAAACATGTACACATTGTTATTTATCATAATTGCTTTGACCCAGTTTGCAAATACAACATAATTTGTATCCCTATGAAATTAGATATGAAAAGCTGATCTTTCACAGAACTTTAAGCTTAACTAGCAGTCAATCTTAAGATATTTTTCCAGTGCCAAAATATCTGTTTTGATCACCAATCTATAGTTTCTTTTTTTACTATCTAGTGTTTCATATTAAAAGTCAGTGTTCTGGGCTGGGAAGGTGGCTCAGTGGTTAGAGCACTTGCCTTGCATGCCTAAGGCCCTGGGTTCGATTCCTCAGCACCACATAAGCAAAAAGAAAAAAGCTGGAAGTGGCGCTATGGCTCAAGTGGTAGAGCGCTAGCCTTGAGCTGAAGAGCTGAGGGACAGCGCCCAGGCCGAGTTTAGGCCTCACGACCGGACCCAAAAAAAAAAAAAGTCAGTGTTCTAGCTAGGCACTGATGGCTTATGCCTGTAATCCTAGTATTCAGGAGGCTGAGATCTGAGGCTAGCTGGGGCAGGAAAGTTCATGAGACTCATAAATGACTCAGCAAAAGCTGAGAGTGAAGCTGTGGCTTTGGTGGTAGAGCACTAGCTTTGAGCAAAAAGAATCTCAGGAATAACACCCAGGCCATGAGTTCAAACCCCAGGACTAGCACCAAAAAAATCAGAGTTCTGTGACTAAAAAATTAAAATATGTGCCTACTTTGGCAGCACATATGCTATTGGAGCAATACAGAAAATATCAGCATGGCCCCTGCACAAGATTGACACAATTTGTAAAGCTATCTGTATTATTTTGTACAACTACTTGAAGATAATAATAAAAAGTTTATAAATAAAAAATTACATAATATAACCAGCAGGACTATACAATCACTTGAGGAAAGTTTCTCCAATAAATAAGAAGAGCTGGTTATAGAGTTCAAAAAAAGCATATGCTAAGTGCTCTTGCTTTTGATCTTGATTCAATAGGCATTAATGGTTAAAGATAACAATAAAAACTGTTTAACTTAGGAGATAACTCTCTTTCACCTTTATTTGTAATATGGCGTGACTGCTGTTCTGGACTACCTATCAGGAAATGATAGAACGTCTACCCAATATCTAGAAACTGTAGTGTGGAATTTCAGCTGATGTCTGTATATCAGTGATCCGGCATTGCTCTAAATGTCACTTCCTCTTGAATCTGTGGTTTATAGGGAATGCTATTATCATTTGGATCCTGTCCTTCCCTAAGCCGTGGACTACCCAAGCTCTGGCTCAGCCAGACTGAGGGGGCTTTACTAACTGTCAACAAAGGGAAAGGATGGGTAGGTAGTTACAGCATAGCAACCGAAAGCAGAGGAAGCATTTAGTTTCTAAAATGATCCTCCAAAAGCTCAAAAATCCATATTGACAACAGTGTTGACAGAATGCATTTCTCAGTGCACCTTGATGCTCTCCGTTGGATAGAGTGTGACTTTTTGAGACCCAAGCCTATCCTGCAGTGTGTGCTGTCCCTATGTGTTCCAGGCTTCCTGTCAGGAGTACTGTGGGCGATAGCCACCTGCTGTTGGTTCCTAGCTAACCACTCTCTCAGTGCCGTGGTCAGTTTTCCAATCATCACTGCTGTAAGTAGCCACCTTTTTTTCTTCATTTTTCAAATGTAAATCTAATTTTCCCGAAGTGGGCTTAGTGACTCACTAAACACTGCTATAGAGTTTGACTATTTTATAGACAAAATAAGATTCAGGAAAAGAAATTGGTACACTTTAATTTTCATATCCTTGACTGTTATGAACTCATTTTTAGCAGGTTTACCAATATTTATCTTTAAAAGCCTTGTATTATTTTTATTGTTGTTAGGTCATTTTACTTAATGTCATTTTGGAGACATTATAATTTACAATTTGTAGCAACATGAATCTGTTTTATTTAATAATTTATAATTACAGCAAATGGCTGTGCCATTATAGATATCAATACAGATAAAGAGATATAGATACAGATGCAGATATAGACTTAAAAAACTACACTTGAAAGCTCATGGCAGACTTGAGAGACTAAATATACTCAGATTTCAGATTCTTCCTTCTGAAACATTTTTGTTATGTTGTTTTCTTTTGGGGGGGAGGGGTGAACTTGAACTCGGCCTGTTTGCTGTCCGTGAGTTTTGTTTTGCTCAAAGCTAGCATTCTATCCTTGAGCCACAGCTCCACTTCCAGCCTTTTTTGAGGAGTTTATTGGAGATGAGTCTCATGGATTTCCCTGCCCCAGCTGGCTTCAAACTCTGATCCTGAGAATTACAGGCCTGAACCACCAGCACCCAGAGTTTCTGTATTTTTAAGGAAAACTTTCAGAAATGTGGTATCTCTGGATGGTGCCATTTATCAAGCAGACTTAATAGAATTCACTCATCTGATTGTTCAGATATCTGTAGCAAAAAAAAAACCCAAAATGTTCCCCACGACAGCGGTAGTAGATTATCCCATTTCAAAATTGAGAAATTTGAATCAGTTGGCAGAGAAGCAGAGAGCTGATGAAAGTAAGAAACTCTCAGAACACAGGGTGACCTGCTTTCATCAGCATGGAATCTAATGTAGAGCTAGTTTCTCATCCACTGTGTCACTGGCTGATGTCTACTGGCCTAGCTTTCATGAGGGCTCCTTTGCTTTCCTGGACATCCTGAATTGCTGAATGATTCTTCCTCTGCCTCCTGGGTACAAAATTATGATCACAAACAACATTCACCTAAAATATTTTAGTAGCATATCTAAGTAAACCTAGAAAGCTGCTATTGCTAAGCACATTGTATAGCTAAAAGCACAGTGTAAAGATTTGATTGAAACTCATTCAAGCAACTCAGGGCTTGGGTGCTGTCCCTTAACCTTTTTACTCAAGGCTGTCACTTTACAACTTGAGCCACAGCTCCACTTCTGGATTTTTGTTGATTAGTTGGAGATAGGAGCATCACAGACATTTCTGCCTGAGCTGTCTTTGAACCATGATCCTCAGATCTCCACCTCTTAAGTAGCTAGGTTTACAGTTGTGAGCCGCAGAGCCCAGCTCAAATATTACATTTTAATATGTTTTGTGTTTTTCATTTTTGAGACAAGATCTCACTATGTAGCCCAGGCCAGCCTCAAACTTGATATTCTCCTGCCAAAGCCTCACAGATACTGCTTTTGCAGGCATGTATCACCTGGCTCAAGACCCTTGGCTCCAATTACACATTTTAACAGTTCTCTGCTCATAAAATGGCCTTCAGATTAAGCTGAATTCCAATTAAAAAAGAGATTTATCATTGCTTCAAGAACACAGCTTGACATTCTAACTTCTCCTGTGAGAAAATGTCCAAATCTAGCTAATTATAAGGAATTTATTTAGACCCAAAGTCCTCATAAAGAATATAAAAGAAGGGGAAGAGAAGGGAGCGGAGAGGAAGGGAGGGGAGAGGGAAATCACAACCAGAATTTGTTAACCACTGCTCCTCTTCATCCTTGATAATTCTAAATTCTAATCTGGAATGTTCAGCTTCTTAAGCCAGGATCAAGCCTACCTCATTTTCAAAAGCTGATCTACATGTGATTGGCATTTCTTCACAAAAGGAAAGTACACAATTCCAATCATCAAGGCAGTTGCGTCTGCAATAAGATGCGATCTCTACTTGGCTCTCCTCTGCCCAGAGCAGAGAGGCTGCATAGATTTTTGCCTCTGCTTGAATTACTCTCTGCCTAGCACCATGGCACCCACGTACAACCTCATGCACGCACAGGACATGTACAAAACCAATTAGAAACTCTTCAGACAGAAAGTTTTAAATTGCAATGATAACCATGTTCTCTGAAGGGCAGTGAATCTTGAGAGTTTAGTGAAAAAAGTTTCCTGAACAGCTGGCATGACATTAATATTGCGTCTGCACTTTTGTTCCCCAGTGTAGGTTGCCTGAAAGACTCATAATGCCTGTTTGATTTGGACGCTTGAGACTCAGGACTTTATATCACCAATAAAAGGCAGCTCCTTTGACCTATTTCTCTGCCTCCTTGGATGCTGACTTTTCAGATGCTGATAAACACATAGTAAAATATTCTTGCTTCCCTTCCATGCTGGGAGTGCAATCAAATACTGTTGACCAAGCCAGAGAAACGGTTGGTAGTGGCAGAGGAGAGAACATTTTTTCAATTGTTTATTTGAAATGTATCCATAGTTCCTGCAAGGCTCAAAAAGGAATCATAAAAATGTTGATATGACAGCATTTTGCACAGGTTCCACACAAGTACCAGGGTTAACCCAAATACCACATTTTCTCCTTGTTGAAAATACCCACGCCAATTCTAAACAGTTCCAAGTTTTCAAATTGAGGAATCCTAGCTTTTCTTTCTATTTTCTTCTCATTCCCTGCATTCTGTATTATTTGTTCTTGTCTTTGAGTTCAGTAACTCCTGAGTTTTAATCTTATTATTTTTATTTTATTTATCACACTCTTACTTGGTTTACTTGCTCACAGATGGAACGCTACCACTTGAGCCATGCCTCCAGTCCAGTATTTTGCTGATTAAGTGAAGATAGAGTATCTCAAACATTTCTGTGCATGCTGGTTTCAAATTTGGATCTTTCAGGTCTCAGCATTCTCCATAGTTGGGATTATAGGCATGAGGTACTGGCACCTGGTTTATCTAACATCATTTTTAATTTTTCCCTATAGTACTTAGAGCATTCATTTGTGTTTACTATTAGACATAATTAATGGTTTTGCAGTCATAATAATTATTATTGTTTAAATTAGAAGTATATACCATTTTAATATATGCATTATTGTAAGGCCCAAGAACATACTACCAAGACAATAGAAAAACAAGCTACTGTGTGCCAGAGGCTCACAACTATAATACTAGCTACTCAGGAGAGTGAGAGTGGTTTGGAACTAGCTCAGAAAGAAAAGTCCACAAGACTCTATCTCCAAGATAACCAGCAAAAAGCCAGCTTCAAGATGTACCTCAAGTGGTGTACTTCAAGAGCACCAACTATAAAAAACAAGCTAATCAAAAGCTTGAGTTCAAGACCTTCCTCAATACCAGTAACAAAACTAGTTTATTAGAACATACTGCATTAAACAATATTTTATATCACACATTATAATATCAAACTAATAAACCACAAAAAAGAACAAAAATAAAAAATATTTTACTTGATTATACTAGATCTTTTAGCTCAATTTGAGGTTATAGTTGAGATTATAGAAGTTTTACCTGAATATTTTGATATTCTCTCTAACTTCTGCACATACATAGAATATATACATAGAATAGCCAATTTAATTAAAATTCTTATTGTTATTTAAGGGTCCAGGATTTATAGCCGCACTGTGGGGCATCTTCGTTTTCAAGGAAATACAGGTATGTTAAAGAAAATGATTTCCTTTTTCCCCCAAATATAATCACCCATTTTCTCTGAGAGACAGACAATTTGGGCTGATTTTAACATCAAAAGGAAATTCATTTTGACTCCAGGAGAACATTATTCTTCTGCTACATAGATAATAAAGAAGAACTCAGCAAAGTGTTCACACATAATTAGGTTGTAGAGTGCTTATGATTAAATCCCATTTTTTAATTTAAGTAATTATATCAATTTATAATTCACTTTCTAATTCACAGAGTACATTTGGAAATTGCCTGACTATGTTCATTCTTTGAACAGTTTAAATATTCATTGAATACTTTTCTGCACTAGTGCTGGTATCTAAGTTAAAGTAAATTAATTGAAAAGTAGGGAAAGCATGCTGAAACCTTCATATGGGATTCAAATGCAAACATGTAT